CAAACAAACAAGTGATTACAACACAGACTTTTAACATCTCATGGAAAGAGGAAAGTGAAAGAATAGGAGAGGAGAGAAAGGGACATATGAGACTGAGTAAGCTGGCTGCTTATCCTCAGCGGTNGCTACGATACGAAGGGCTGTACATGCTGCTCTCAGCACACTGCTCCAGTTCCTTGGGCTGTGGCAACCTTGTCGCCAATCCTACAAATGTAATCATATCTTGTAATTCACACATTACATTAGGGCAACACAAGACTAGGGAGTTGGTCTTTTTCATTGCTTACCNAGTTCATAGGCCTTGGCAGCCACCTTGGCTGCTATACGAGCTGAGATTTTCCTGATATTCCTGAACGGAGGGTATATCATCCCCTTCTCATAGTGCTCCTCCATCAGTTGCTCAGCCAAAGCTTCCGATGCTGCCAGAAGCATGTCATCATGAACGCGAATTGTCCCTGACATTATTAGCCCCAGNCCAAACCCAGGGAAGATGTATGCATTGTTTGCCTGTCCACACCAATTGTCTGTCAGAATCAACTCTTAAATCATCAGGTTGGTTTTAAATCCTATTCTATAGCTTTTCGTCACAACCTGTCCAGGCACAAACGTCTTTCCCTCATACTCTACTGGCGCAAATGGGCTTCCACTTGCAAAGATTGCCCGTCCCTGTAAAATCAAAAGCTTGACTTTGTAACCCAACGACAATCCTCCCCTTCTCTCTCATAAATAACAATCTTAACTCGTTTACCTGACTCCACGTATAGGCCTCTTCTGCTGTACATTCTGACTGGGAAGTTGGGTTTGAAAGAGAAAGAATGATGGGTTTCTGTATGCACCAAAATTTTGACTCTAAGTCAGAACCATGTGCTCCCATACAATATGCATATCCAAAAAATGCTTCTTTCCTTTTTATGCAAGTTTATGCAGAAACTATATACCTCATTTAGCTCTGCCATGGTTTCTACCACATCTCGAGTGAATGTTTGACCTACTCCCGATGTTCCAATCAGAACCGTCGGCTTGATTGCCTGAATGAAAATAGGAGGTTCAGTTTTAATGCTGAGAATAAATAAATACGTCACATCCTCAATAACATTGACCAACACACCTTGACGGCATCAACAAGTTTCTTTATTGGTTCATGGTCATGAGCCCAGGGCTTTTTGAAATGTTGAATGGATTCTTTCCGGGAACTGACAATCAATCCCTACATAGATTAAAATGTATACTTAGATTTAAATATATGCAAAAGAAAGACAAACCCACGTCTCATAAATTACCTTTGAATCCACGAGCCAAATATTCTTCCGAGCCTCTTCCAATGGAATTTGGGACTACAGTCACCAACATATATATCATATAAGAAAACAAGCAGCTTAATAAACCAAATGAACACAAGCTTATGGCTTACCTTCTTTGATATCTCAAGAGCAATTAGTTCAGCTATTCCAGTGCCAGCCTGAATCACAAAGAAATGGGGAAGTAACAAGCCTGCAGATATCCCATCCCGATCCAGGAAATAAAGAAACATATTGAGGGAATGGATTTCACTGAAAGAAAAACCCAGATTTTACCTCTCCAGCACCGAGGAAGAGGAATCTATGGTTTGACAAGGATCCACCAACAAATCTAAGAGCAGCAATAAGCCCCGCCAGCACAACTGATGCCGTGCCCTATATATGAATTCACAGTTTCACAACTTGGTAAACCTGAACTCCAAGCCGAAATTAACTCATGTATCACAACTTAATCAAGATATACCTGAATATCGTCATTGAAAACAAGATGTGTTGTACCATACTTGGCTAACAGATCAAAAGCATTATGGTTCGCAAAGTCTTCAAACTGCAATTTATCAATGAAAAAATGTGTATTACAAAAGATATGGAGAGGAAACTTCAGAAGATCTAAAGAGTAGAATCATGTTGGTGGGGGTACACCTATCCATGCGTAAAGCTGACCTGAATAACGACTTTCTCCCCATAGTTCTGCTTGACTGCTGTCATGAATTCATCCATAAGTTCGGCGTATTCCTGTCGAAAGAAGAGGATTAAGGGTTCAGTTTCATCTCGTTTTCGCAGGATTGTTTACCTGAAAGTTGCAAGGAGCCAATTACCTCTCCTGTAGCTCTCCTTTGGCGAAGCCCTATGTAGAACTCATCGTTCAATAGCTTTTCATTGTTTGTCCCAACATCGATTGTGACGGGCAGACACTGGCGACCAATATATATAGAGAGGGATGAGAGAATGTGGTTAAATGCGATAAAGCTGATTTGCCCAAAACTATACTTACGGCAGATGGCCGGACACCTCCAAGGGCTGTATACAGAGAAAGTTTCCCAACAGGTATTCCCATTCCCTGAAGACATTAATGACAGTGAGTTAGTAAGAGGATAAACCCAGACACACCACCACGCTCATGATAGCAGAAAAAAATCAAACAACTTGCCTGACATCCAAGATCCCCTAACCCTAAAATGCGCTCCCCATCAGTGACAACAATGACTTGGATGTTCTTCTCAGGCCAGTTCCTCAACACCTCATGAATCTTACCTCTATTAAAGAAAATTGTTGTGTTCTTGGTAAAAGAGCATACGAATATAAAAAATGGTAGTTGATTTTCTCTATAAGAAGACTCACTTTTCTTTCAAGCTGATAAAAAGCCCTTGTGGACGCAGGAAAATGCTACCATACTTCTGGCAGGCTTCCCCGACTGTTGGAGTGTAGACAACTGGTAGCAACTCTTCGACATGATCAATGAGAAGCTTGTAAAACAACCTCTCGTTGGTTTCCTGAAATACAAAGCATCATTATGAAAGAAATTGGTAACAAAGCCAGTTGGTGATGTTGAGATACGAAAATTTCCCAAGTACCTGGAGATCCATCATAGCCATATACCTCTGCAAGGGAACTTGATACTGACGAAGAGTATGCATCATTTTTTTAACCTGTAAACAAAGCATGGCAGTAAAAGGATCAAAAGTCCTATAC